GAACAAGTAATAGGTTTATTCCATGCTGAAAAGAGAAGAAAGAAAACACAACGTTTTGGCTGTGGAGCCTTCTTCAGATTCATGCAACAAAACCTACTGTATGGAATAGTTCAGATTAAATCAGCAAAATAAAATAGACCAGTTATGAATCTTATTTTGAACAAGTCACATTCCACAATTTCAGAAACTGGGACTTAAACATATTGTAAAGTATACGGCCATCAGGATGTGTAAGAGCCGGCTTACCAGAGTGGTGACGTCACCGCCCTTCCCTGTGATAGCAGGACTACAGCTACTGGGCTGGAGAGAGATCTCTCTTTGGCTCACCGGGCTGGGTCCCTGTTGAGTGACGTGGGAGTCCTGGGTTTGAGCCCCTGACGGTGTGGGGCCGACCTAATGTGGCAAGGGTGCCTGCCAGAACCCCTGTTGCGTTACAATATTTAATGTTTCAAAAGCCAATGTGCACATTTCATATATGGACCACATTTGATAGTTCTCTTATCAGTCTTTCAAATTAAATCTAGAACAGCAATTATCAAAGTTCAGTGTAATTAATCACATGATAACACAGCATTTCACTATGAATTTCTCTAATCTGGATCGTTGAAAACACGTTGTACCACACAACCCCTTAAATGTTTCTTGTTCAGAAATGACAGGCTTTATGAAACAAAATACTGCAATACGCAGTGTACACATAAGGGCAGTGCGTTCTGTCCTTTTGTGTTGCTTTGTTTTTGGCAGAGACAATCTATTTATTTTATTATTTGGAGTGCAGCCCACCAGCCTTAGATTATTATAACAGCCCATATTTTTATCATACAGGCTACAAAAGCATGTAGCACCCTAAAATGAACAGTAATTAAAATGTGACTGAACAAGAGCTTTAGTAATGTCCTAGTAATTAAATTCTTAGTAATACAGTCCTTCATTTCTTTAGTCACACTCCACTGCCTCTACACTTTCAGGATACATTTATATTGTTGCCACTAACAGCAGAAAAAGCACAAGTTCATTGCTTAAAGTGAACTAAAGGATTTACTGCCTTTTTTGATGTATACTATAGACATAAGATACACAAGGCTTTTTGTT